GAAGTTCGGTGCCCTCTGCGATTTGTTCAAGTACTGGCAAGGCAGAATGAATGCAACATGTGAGGAACAAAAGCTGCAATTTGCTAGTCTGACAATATTTACATGACCGCTTTCTATCTGGGACGCAACGCAATGCCCCAAGCCCCGAAGACGGAAGAAACTCATGGCAAGTGAAAAAGCTCGAAAAGGAAATTCAATTGCGGCCTTCCAAGAAGCCAGAGATGAAGTTAGGAGGTAATCTAGCACCGGGCTCCTCTTCTGGCCGGAAGTATTTCATCACATGCGAAAGCTGCTTCCAGTAGTTGAGGGTTTCCTAGAGAAATACCATCAGTAAAGTCCAAAGAAGGCTATTTCAAGGCATGAGATCAAGCCATGGAGAATATATCGTTCGCATCATATCGTCGGCTTGGAATTAAGTGAATTGGTAGCCTCTGGACTGACCTGGTATTCGGCATKGCTCTGGAACAACAAAACATCAACAACACCCAGCTGCTGGACGTAGCGATGCTTCTCAAACTCTTGGCGAATCTTCGTCCGGATTGCGGATACGGGGATGTTCAAGGAGTACATGGTCTGAATCTCGGGGGACTATTCTCCTCGACGTTGTTTTATGTTAGTCCTTTCTTGCTTGTAGAGAAACATTCGCCAATGCTCAGAGCTTTCAGCAGCTCAATGGACGGAAATCCATGGGCCAAATCAGAGTATGTATAGCTGCGGGTTGGGCAAACTGACCGCTCTGAGCCATTCTCTGTAGGACCGGATGACGCGAGACTTTGCATCGGCCCAATTGACGGCTATCATGAACATGTACGTTAGCACTGGCCAGTTCATCCACTGACATCGCGGCAATTTGTAAGAGAATCGCCGGATCGTCTCGGGGTCTCGCGTGCGGGAAGGACTGCACATACAGGAGCGCGTGCGCTGCGCGAGGTAAGTGGGATTGATGGTCATCTTGGGAGTGGCCGGTGATCGTGGACTAAACACAGCAAGCTGGGGGAGGGACAGGTGCGCTGAAAGTCGACGTTCCTTTTCGGACTCAAGTTAGCGTGACGATGGATAGGTTGGAAGTGGAGGTTTGGGATCCTCGCTGGTTGGACCTACCGCCTTCCTTTTGCGAAAAATTTCGTCCGCAGTTATTTGGAGACCATCGAGATTTGCTATGGTCAACTCCAGAAATTAATCTCCATATACGCATTTTTGCCCATTTTATCGGTGCGAGTAACTGTGAAAGCTGTCTGGTACGATCCTGGTCTACTTGTCTTCCTCTCGCTATCAACCTTCCTAAGCGAAAAGACACCCGCAAATTCGATTACCTCTGCACCATACCCACGTGCGAGACGATATCTCGATAGATAACAGATATGGCGCCGAATAAGCCTTCAGTCAAAGGCAAGTCATCCTCCAAGGGTGACTCAGGAAAGAGCAAGCCTCTCTCATCCGCATCGAAAGTGAGCAAGAAAAATGCGAAGCGCCCGCCACCCAAGGAAGTGAAGTCGAAGGCACGCACCGAGTCATCACTATTGAAGAAGACGAAGAAGAGGGAATATACAGAAGAAGAACTTGACCTCCCGAAGCTGAATATGATCACACCTGTCGGAGTAGTGAAGCCAAAGGGCAAGAAGAAGGGAAAGGTCTTTGTTGATGATCAGGTGAGTGTGCTCGTTCTCCAATCTTTGTCTCTCGCTTTGGCTGAGAATCACTGACACCTGCCCTACGTATAGGAGGGAATGATGACTATCCTTGCCATGGTCAATGCGGAACAAGAGGGCCACATTGAGTCCAAGCTGCAGAAGGCGCGTCAACTAGAGGAGATTCGCGAAGCCAAGAGAAAGGAAGCAGAAGCGAGACATGCCGAAAAGAAGAACAAATTGGTATGTGTCGATATATTATGCATTATTGTTTCCATACAGGATATCTCGATTGGACTTGCTCTGCATGGAGGCATTGACTAACAAGAACATCTGGATATAGGAAGAAGCGAAGCAATCAATTCGCCAGAAGCGGAAGCGCAAGAGCGGCGGCAATGAAGACTCCAAAGCTGATGCTTCTGCACCTAAATCAGATTCAAAGTCAAAAGGAAAGAGAAAGAGTGTTTCTTTTGCTTGAGCGTTCTATGTACAAAAGTTTATTCTATCTATACCAATTTTATGTATCTAGATGGGGTTATTTGGCGTTCCCGCAGGTCTATATATTACCCGAAAGTGACATGAATGGGCAGTCATGACTCCATGTACCGGCCTTCCCAACCAGGCCAGAAGTCTGTATTTATGTTCCCCTTATTGCACCATCTTCAAGGCCAATTTGCGCCGCATAGGATCAAAGTCTGGCTTGGGCGCCGTGTCTGGATCTTTGCTCGGATCAAAGTGGTTTGCGATACGACCAGGAAGTTTCTCAGGATGCTCAACTATGAATGGCATCCCGAGGTCAATCTCCTTGGCCATGGTGTTCAGGAAGTTTGTCACCTGTCTCAAAAGTCAATAGAAGCGTCTGGTGTCTGTAGCAAGATACCCACCGGTTTCACAAACCACCTATCTCCACCAAGTTCAAACCAACCGAGGTGACCGCCCCAGGACGTAGTCAACATGACACCATAAGGTGTTTGCGTCATTTCTTGAAAAGGAAGCGCATCGACCGAAGCGACCTACAAAGTGATTAGTTCGATGTTAAACCCTAAAATTAATTGCAGAACCGACCGGATCATCTTCAGCCTGCACCGTGAAGAATGGGATTCGAATGGCAAGCATGGAATCGATGGATGCTGCGTCTCGATAGTATGCACCTTCTGTAGGGTATCCCCAGGTTGCGCATTGCAGTGCCCTAACGGAATGATCAATAACTGAATGACGACAAGAAGTGTTTTGAGAGAATGCACGAAGTCTTACCGATCAAATTCATGCAAGTATCTGGACTTCCTGACTGCCTCCACGTCCACTCGTGGATTCTTTGACACTTCTTCAACATGCCTGATATAGACCAGTCAGCCTGGATAACAAGATAGCTATTGACAGCGCTGAACTCACTGTTCAAAGAGTCGCTTCATGCTTGATCCCATCGTCCTACTGTACACCTCAAGTCCGAGCCACGTCTTTTGGAGGTTTGTCGAGCCGACATCTAAATTCCAGGGGCTTGCACAGAGCACCGCCGCTTTCAGCTGACATGCATCACCTTCTTCACCGAGATACTGAGCACGAAAGTGTTAATTCACTCTCAATTTGGGAACTGAGAGCAACTTACATTGGCAAGAATATTCGCACCGAGGGAGAACCCAATTCCGAACAGAGGTCGATTTGGAAACGCCTTGCGGAGCCATTTTACGGTTTGACGAACATCCCACGTGGCCCGGGCGTTGTAGAGCACACCGGTGGTAATTTTGGTCTGAGAGCAGCCTCTGGAATTGACCACACATGCTTCCCAATTTCCATCTGCAATGAGTGGCGCGAGTACATGGCGCAGATAGATCTCGTGCGAGCCACCGCTTAAACCATGGAGAAGCACAAGCATGGGCTTCGTATCATCTGAAGGCAGAGCTTGGAACTCCTCTTCTGAGAAGAAAGACGTCCGTTCCGGAAGACCCGAAGGTAGAGTGTATCTCCTCGCTTCATCGGTAGCTTCGGCGTTGTCCTTGGGCGTTTCGTACGGCTCAACGACAAAATCCACTGCAAAATGCCCTTTATACATTGAACTGTCGGCCTCAAACATCCTGCGCTTGTAATACACAGGAACATCGTCAAATTTGATGGTAGTCCAGGCAGTCTGTAAATGCCCATTAAAAAGGAACGGATTCAGATGGCATTTCGCCGGGGTTGCAGCGCGACAGATATCCGCGAGCGCAACCTGCTGCTTGACACCAGATTCGCCAGGCTTCTTGGTCAGGACGAGTTTGTTATCCTTGGAATGGAAAAAAGAAAGGCGTGCACTTGGTCGAATCCATGACAACATGCTTATTACGAGCAGCAGCGGCCCAGAGATAATCAACGGAAGTAGATAGACGTTTAGGATACTTTGAATGACAAGTCAGTCATAAACAGCGGCAGCCTAGGGAGCAAAGCACTGAGTCTGAAAGGGAGCAATGATTGACTGACCCGTCTGAATACATCAACAATCTGATCTATAAGCAGAGTTTCGCTATGACAATGGTAACCACAAAAGTTAAGAAACAGGAGACAGAATCAATGAGACAGAAACCAGACATACATTACCACTCTGCACCACCCCTTCTGCACATATAGGATTTTTCCTCTCCATCTGCCTCGGCATCACTACTATATCGGGAAAGCATGACATAAGCATCGTTATCTGATCAATGACTCAGCAATCACATGCTTGCTCCTGATGTTTGTTCTGTTTGTTTGCCCTTGCATCATGAGACACAGGGAAACCCTATGATCAGAAGCTAGCAGTCAGTTGATAACACAATATAGCCAGTTACATCGAACTCGTTCCCTCCTCTTCTTATCAGGACGTACTGTGGCTTTTCTCAAGCCAGATAGCACGCGTTGGAAGCATTGAATATTTTGAGAAGAACGATGCAGACATCTACAAGACTTAAGAGTGCTCAATGCGGCTGCCAGGGACCCGAAAGCGGAAAGTCAGCTCAAACTCGGCGAGATGTCATCTTGCAAATCCCCTTCAGAATGGAAATCCGGTTTCTAAATTTACTTTACAGATTATTTAGAACTTATGTATGCTTGCAGCAATTTTCTGTTGATGAGTTGAAGCAGCCATCCTTTGGGTTGGTCGGATAGTGACCCTGCATCGGAAGCCCTAGCCTTGTATGTAATCCTGATAGCATCTGCTACACTGTGATCATAGCGCGTGCTCCGTTTGCGTGCAACTTCCAGCCGTCGTGGGGGACTACTTCAAGGTCAACAGATCCTCCGTATCTTAGCCTTCCTTTTTGATGGCTCTTTGTCACGCGATGCGCTTTTTGTGTCTTTCATATAACTATACACTATGATACCGGAGAGCCAGCAGCCAACTAGCTGGTTCTTACCATATCCATGACTTACTGTCAATCTTCAACGAAGGTTTTCGGAGTAAAGGACAAGAAACGCTGGAGACAAAGCGCCAAGTTGCTGGTTTCTAGTCTAGCCCGCATCGAAAGCAGGCTTCCAGCCAACATGGTGTATCCTTTTCGCAGGGCTGGAGAAAAGCTGAAGACTGTTGCAAAGATGGATACGTGGGTGCGAGGTCAATCCGAAGAGCGGAGCACAGCGACGAAACGTTCGACCCGGTGCTATCTCCTTGAACTGCCCACAGAGCTGCTGCTAGAGATCATCTCGCATCTATCTGTAATACCTGAAACATGCCTGGCTCTGACCTGTAAACGATTGTTTGCGATATCCGGGGCCATTTTCAGATCCGTAAGGTACAGAAACCGTCTCATCAGCTTTGCCTAGGCATTGAAGTCCACTTCGCTAATTTGGACCCTTCAGGTTCAGTCAGGATTTTGCACCTCTATTCCACCATTACCGAAACGGACACAACTTTGTCACCACACGATGGCAACTCATCAACATACTAGAGAACAGCAGGTGGTGGGCCTGCTCGAAATGCTTGAAGCTCCATCCGCGAGATGCCTTCTCCTCTCGCGAACTCAGGCGCAAACCGGAGGAGCGTGCATGTATGTTGGGTAACTTTGCGGGCATAGTCGACTTGTGTCCCTGCAAGAAATTGACATTTCGGGATAAGATGGATCTCGTTGAACTTTTGAAAGTGCGACAGCGGTCAGTTGCCGCCTTACAGTCTCAGTTCGGCGCCAGCATTCAACAGCKGTTCTGCTGGCATTCTTGCTCCAAGGACTACGGCCCTACGCAGTTACACATTGAGATCTTCCCGGAGCTGGACGATCAAGATCAGTTGAAAATCAAGACCGAATACAGATTGACAACGGAATCCGGGAAGCTAGGAAAGGAAGAATACATAACACCCCGGTTCGGATGTGCTCATCGATCAGTCGATCTGTGGCTTTCCAGTGTATGCCAGACGACTATTTGCCAAAGCTTCGACAGTATCTGCGCGTCATGCAAGCGCATATCAATTTGCAACTCTTGCAATTCAGTGCTCAAGTGTCCTCGGAGGCAACCTTGCCATGTTGACCAGGACTCAGGCAGGGCAACTTACCACTTCTGGACCGAGAGATGCCTTGGCGGGACGACATCAATGCCAGATCAGACGTGGGCTTCTCAACGTATACATCCCGCTGAGAATTCGGTTGAAGTCGACAATTGCAGCGAGGTATGCCCTTGGACTGTCCGGGAGCATCCTCCTTCTACCGGCCCACCTGCTTTGGGAATGGATATCCTTGGTCCTGCAGTCCAAGATCAGTCGATGAGTCAGCTTTACACTTCAATAAACCTGATTTAAAGACCGGGGAGACTCTCGGCGCCTTCGGTACTTCCAGCTCGACTATAAGGTGGGAGACAGGGCGTTATGATGGACATGCATTCGTTTTTGGTTTTCCGTTTGTCATTGTGTATTATGCTTCTCATTTCTCAATGACTTCTTGTGGATTTGGTTCCCTTCTCTTTTTCGTCTGTTTGGACAGCTACCCTTTGCTTTTCATAGAGTATACCCTCATATAGCAGATCAAGTCATTTCCTTGCAATGCATCTCTGTGCCATCTGCGTGATGTCTGTCTACCGCAGACTCCGTTTAATAATCGTTATAAAATAGAAGCAGCTTGCGAACAAACGTCGATGGTTCAGCACGAGCGTCTTTCTTTTAGGCTGTCGCTCATACGGAGTCATACGTAGGTGAATCAGGTGGTCTGACCGCCCTGGAGTTTCTCCGAACCGAAACGGAAAAGGCGCGTATCACGATGAAGGGTATCTGGTTCGATAACATCTTCGTCCTCAATTCGAAATCTATCATCCTGGATAGCAGAGCGTTGCGATTCCATGACAGTTATCTGTGTTCGGGGGCGATGAACTACCCACCATCTCATAACGGTCAATATCCTCCGCAGTATTTGCAACAACCACAGCAGCTACTGTATAGCAATGCCGACTCAAACGCTTCGCCATATGAGTATGGCAAGCCTGTCGCTTACCCTCAGACTATAATTTCGCCGTATTCGTCCTACGGACAAGCATATAATATAGAGCAGCATCAACACCAACCGCAATCGCACCACCAACAGCAACAGCAGCAGCAGCAGCAGCAGCAGCAGCAGCAGCCGCAACAGCAATATGTGAACCCCTCTGACGTGTTCCAGCAACCGCTTATTCCTCCTGCCTCGTCATCTCATCTTGCCCATGGCTCAACCCAATATGGTGCCCAACCCATGGTTTCTGTTGCAGGCAACAGCAACCGTCCCCCAGCCGTCGCAACCGCCTCAACATCCGCGCAATCAACACAATCGGCATATCAAACAGCCCCAAGTCCAAATCTGGGGAATAATGTCTTCAACCAGTACCCCCAGGTTGCTCTTCCAGCGCATTCGGTTCCAAGTTCGAATTCAGTAGCTGCCGCTCCTCCTGTGCCATCTCCGAAACCCCCTCCTCTTCCGTCGTCATCGAAACCTGCGACTCCTGTTCCACCCTCGAGAGCAGCTCCTCCCGTCCCATCAGCATCGAAACCCACGCCTCCTGTACAGTCTAAGAAACCTCTTCCTCAAGTCCTGGTCCCGGCTCCTTCACCGGAAGTCCAACAGAAAATGCAGCGCCAGGGCCCTAAAAAGCAAGTTCAACGACAGAACGCTCAGCAACCCGTGCAGAAGCCGACCAAGCCCCCTATAGATTATCAAGTTCTCTTGTTGAGCTTGGCAGATGAGTATTTAAAGGCAGCTTATGGTCACGGAACCATGGTCGCTTTATCAAGGCGCGAGATGGAAATTGAGGAATATTACAAGCTCGTTGCAACTGGTCTTGGTTGCCTGGAGGCAGTATTAAAGGTTTGCATGCCGCTGACCCGATTACAACAATTGCTTTGTCAGTAACTTCGAGCATTCATGCTAATCTCAGTGTTACGCTTTAGAATTGGAGGCTACAGCCGCGAATGGAAGCTCTTGTAAGGTTGCGGTATGCGCGCATACTGTTTGAGGAGACGGAGAATGATCTTGAGGCGGAAACAGCCCTGAGCAAAGGGGTAAGGGGTTCCAGCGCACAGTCGTTCATTAAACCAGCAGTCTACTGACATTCTTGCTTCGACAGATTGATTTATGCGAGCGAGTGAGTTGGCGTCCCTCGACTACGCACTGCCATTCCCCGTAGAACAAACCATCAGTTACTTACGGTATTGCAGAATCGCATGTTAGATCTCAAATACAGTATGCAGCATCTTCTGGCGCGGATGCTACACAAGACCAACCCGAAAGCCTCATTGAAGGCTGTCGATGGTATGATACTGGATGTTGAAGCGTAAGTTGTAACATTGCATTCCATACAGCTTGCTTCTAACAGTCGCAGATATCGCCATTCAGCTTGGGAGTATGCTTTTCGCTTTCTTCGGGTGTCACTTTCGTTATCAACATCGGCACATCAGGATTCCGTCTCTGCGCTGCAACATTTACATAAGATTTCGAATATGGCTAACCGACAAGGTGATAAAGCTGTTGCGGCCATTTCGGCCGTGATTGAAGCACTTGCTCATTTGCAACATGGAACGAGCTCCGATGCAATCGAACAGGCTCAGCGTGCGGTTGCAGTAGCAAGAAGCCATCAACTCAACGATGAGCTCCGTCATATACCGCAGCTCTCGACTCTGGTGCAAATGGTTGATATTTGTTGCAGTCTCCTTGAATACGACGTCAACCAGTCATCTCAGAAATTGAAGGTCATGCAAGATTTGATGGATGAAAGGTTGAATGATCCGAATTGGCGCGCTGATGGCTCTTTCTCAATTCCCTTGAGCGGAAAATCAGCTGGACCTTCCTCCATTGATACGGGCGATATCCTTCAGGTCCAAAATGGGACGCTCCTATTGAGTTTCAATTGGCTTCCCCAGCACGATCTCTATGCGCTTTGCTATTTCCTTAGCTCGATCACACTCAGCGCAAAGAACTCTTATGATGGTCGTAAGGCTGAGAAATTTCTCCAGGAAGGGATACGAATGGTTAAAGGTATGTCCTATCTCCGTCCTAGGGTTTTAACAATTTCTAACGGGAGTCCGCAGGGAGCTTCAAAGCGCCACAAGAAATTTCAGAGTCAATGGTCAGTGCGAATAGACGCGTTGATTGGCGACGGATCTTGTATTGCAATCTTCTTCTGCATCAAGTTTTTCTTGCCTGTGGTCGTACAGATTGGGATCTGGCGAATCAGACACTAAAGGAGCTGCGMCCCATTGCAGAGGAACTCGGGGATCAGCTCCCTGACACCATTCAGTGCTTGATGGAGTATGCAACGGGGGCACTTGCGCAGGCGACTGGTGATCTGCAGGCTGCTCTTTCCATCTTCCAGTCCCCTCTTCTCTCACTATCGTCAATCACCAGCAAGACAGCACGAAATGATCCTCGTCGCGACATCGCTATCCTTGCCGCCTTAAATTCGATTCTCATACTCCGTGACCCCAATCATCCGTCTCACTCCAATCTTCCCAGCGCCTTGGCCCTTGTTGAGTCATTCTGTAAGGGTAGCCCGAACAAGTATATCCAGGCGGCTTATTACCTTGTATGTGCGACGGTGCAAACAGAGTCAACCATTCAGACCAAGCAGTATCTTCAGCAGGCTCTTCAATCCGCCACGGCAATAAGCAACAGTCAAATCACCTGCATGACCTTGACGTTCATGAGCTGGAAGTATTTTCGCGGCGTGGTTGGGGAGCAAGCTGAAAAGAGCGCTCGCGCAGGCCGGGCAATGGCAAAGAAGGCCAATGATCGACTTTGGGTCAGCGTCACTGATGAAATGCTGGCAGAGACCTTGGAAAGGCAAGGGAAAAGTGAAGAGGCAGAGGGAGTCCGCGACGAGGGCCACCGCGTGATGACCGGATTGCCGCCAGCGCTGAAACGGCCTGTGTGATTCCACCTTCTTTTCTCTATATCTTCGTTCTTATTTCTCTTCATTTTCGCTTCGATGGTTCTGTCCAAGGCAATTTTGCTAGCCTTCTGTTCTGTGATACCACTTCATGGCCAATTGTGATGATCTTTGCGTACATGGGACATGGCTGGCGCATCCGGGATACATAAATGGGAGCTCGTCTATCGATACAACAAATTGTTGCTACAGCATCTGCTATATGAACATGGAGGCCTGCTGAATCGCAGGCATTCCCTTCCGACACATGATGAAATTGAACAGAATTTGTTCAGAAACGCTCAACCGCATAATCCTAGTAAGTCTCCGGATATTGATAAATTGCGATTTCCTTGGCGGAATTGAAGTGCAAACAAGTCGGATGCGCCGACTACATCGCACCGCTATTCAACCTTGCTGGCAAGGCAACTACTTAATATACATGCATTGAACTCGCCAAGGCTCTTTGGCCATGGCACAAAACAATCTCAATGTAACGGCCGACACGAACCAGATAGAAACCCATTCCCTGAATATGACTCCACAACTCTCCATACGCCTGCAACGTGTACACCACTCCGAGCCAGGTTGAATCGCACCATGACATAGCAGTAAAAGCCTCGAATGAGAATTGAACATCACGGAACAAGTCGACTTTCTGCGTGCAATAATCGATTTGGTACCGCCGCTCCCTTGCGTCCGATTCCTCATATGAGAGATAATTTTTTCCTTTTTTGCTGATATTTCTTTTCTCACAAAACGCCATTATGTTGCAATCTGGAAGCTCAAATCAACCTAGACCGCCCCAAACACCGCGTATTCTTCGGGCGAGCTGAATATCTTTCTGCATAATCGTTACACGCTTAGCATGCAAAGCGCAGAGGTTGGTATCCTCGAAAAGATGGACGAGGAACGCTTCTGCGGCCTCCTGTAGCGCCTGAATTGCGTGTGACTGCCATCGTAACTCCGCGCCTACTTCAGCGGGGAGAAGTTCCAATGCGACCTCGCGTACGAGTCGCGCAAACGGTAGCTTCTGAATAAGGAGGTCATATGAGCGCTGGTATTTGCGGATCTCTTTCAATGCGACGGTTCCCGGCTTGTACCGGTGCCGGCGACCTTGAGGGGTAGGGTCCCCAGCTAGTACAGTATTAGCGATAATGCTGTTGCTTGGATTTGATATGTCTGCGTAAGGAGTTATGTATGTACATACGTTGTACGTCTGACGGCCTCGGGGCGCCGGCTGGTCGCTTGCCCCCCCTTGTTCCTCCGCGGGACTTGGGCCGCCCCCGAGTGGCAGGTGATGCAGTAGCAGCAGCATTAGACGGACCTGCACCTCCGTCATCTCGAGGTTGTGTTCGGGGGACCCCAATCGTTTTACGTCCTCGTCCTGTCTTCGGCGGCATGGTGAACAAATGGGGGTTCGGTGTTGCGCGACAAACGGTACTCGAGAGGGCGATTGAGGGCGCGTTTTCGTGAAAATGGAACCGCTAGAGATATCCGTCCGACTGCGCAATTATGCGCCTTCCACCAATTTGCTTTGTCCTGTCTGTGACAGGAGTTCGCGCCAGGACAAAAGGTAGTTTGTTTTGTTTTGATCCTAATCTAGATCGTTGAATGTGCATCTGGCCTGACGTCGAACCAATTCCACCCGGGGAACACTTGGCATGGAGCCCCTCTATATTTGAGAAAAACCTTCTTCAAAGAGAATAAGACAGTTTGGATGGAATTGGGGGGCTGGTGATCCCTCAATTACTCCATGTCTCCACTGCCTCTTCAATGCGCCGGCAGAATGTTGTCCCCAGCCATTCGAATTATTTGACGCGTAGCGCGCGCTTGTGTATCACGTGATGATATGTACTCCCGTCGAATTGCTTATCGGACAAGTAAGCAAACCGTAAGCAAATCCCCGACTGACGTTTGTTTGTTCGGAGGTGGAGAAAAGGCCACCTGGAGCTCTTGTGCCTGCGGTGTTATTATTTATCCAGGTTGACATGTTGTCCAAGATCACATGTGCCTTTTGTACATTGTTCAATCATACTGTCTATGCTCTTCATTAAATCATTGATTTCCGTTCAGTTCTTCGTATCTCTCACTGTCAATCACTTCCTTAACCAAGCTCAACCCGATCTCCGCTCTGTTATTCTACCTCCGACGTAATGGCCGCCATCTGGGGAAATGGTGGACAGGGCGGGCAGTTCCCCTTGGAGCAATGGTTCTATGAAATGCCTCCAGTTACTCGATGGTGGACAGTCGCGACCGTGGCTACTTCAGTATTGGTGCAATGTCATATCCTGACACCATTTCAGCTGTTCTACAGCTTCCGCGCGGTTTATTTCAAGTCTCAGGTACGTCGTAAGAAACCGCAGCTTTCGAGGAAGCTGTTATTTGAGTAGGAGCAAGTCTGACTGTAATGGCAGTACTGGCGACTTCTCACAACATTTCTCTACTTCGGTCCATTAAGTCTCGATCTACTCTTCCATGTCTTTTTCCTTCAGCGGTACTCGCGACTCCTCGAAGAATCTTCCGGTCGATCCCCCGCTCATTTCTCATGGCTGTTATTCTACGCGATGAGCTCTCTCCTCCTCATTTCACCATTTCTCTCTCTTCCATTCCTAGGCACCGCCCTCTCCTCCAGCTTGGTGTACATCTGGAGTCGCCGCAACCCAGACACTCGACTCAGTTTCCTCGGCATATTGGTCTTCACCGCGCCATATCTTCCCTGGGTTTTGATGGCCTTCAGCTTGGTTGTGCACGGTATTGTACCCAAGGATGAGATTTGTGGCATTGTTGTCGGCCACATCTGGTACTTCTTCAATGACGTCTACCCGTCGCTTCACGGCGGCCATCGCCCCTTGGATCCACCACGATGGTGGAGGCGAATCTTTGATCCGAGAGCAAGAGCTGGAGAGGCACAAAGAACAGACACGGATAATGTAAACCGTGATTTTGCCGCTGCGGCCGCGCCTGAGGTCCGATGAGTTGGTGGCATATTAAGCAACCTTTTTCAGCGGCCCACGATTCAGGGCAAGATGATCACACGCACTAGCAACGCATCCAGCGCCTATATAAGGATTACCTGAGAAGGAATCGGCTTAGCTCCGGTGGATTTAGTGCTCCAGGCTCTGACGGATTTACATGCAACGAGTCATCTGTTTGGGATACTGTCCGGTGTCGATAATTAGAGATCACGACATACCAGGCGCCTGACTGCAAGCAAGCAGCACGCCTCGGAAGAAATTCGAGAATAAGGTGCAGCGCACATCTGCACTCAGTCGAGCTGTCTCAAGACATGGGGGATGTCAAACTATGATCGTCCTGCTGTATCAAAAACACATGTGGTGCTCAGTATAAGCTGGCTTCAAATGGTCTTGTGTATCATGTGAACTACGATCATTTGCGACGACATTCTGGCTATATTGGATGATGAGGGACATATGGGGATTTCATCCATTGCTTAGTCGAATAGACGCTCCTAGACGTGAATAGAGACAGAGCTTAGGACAAATACCAGTAAAGTAGCTCACCGAAGCTGTAGGCAAAAATCAAACGAAGATCAGTTCCTGCTTCTGCCTCAGGCCCTCGGCTCATACCAAATACTCGATCATGGCTTTTCGGTTGATCATTTCGTCATCAACACTCGATATCGGCCAGTAGTCAGTACACTGCAGAACCGCACGCTTATCTTGGCTGCGGTGGTACAGTTTAAGTTAAGCATCCACCTTCATGGTCTGCAATGAGCCTTTGAATCGCCCAAACGATTTCGTATGTGTGATCCACTTGAAGAAACGCGTGACTACATCCTTCTGATGTCCAGCTGCACGGACTTCAGCTATCGGAAGACGCTGGACATTGAATGGTCCGGCGAACGTCTTACAATAATAATAATGGAGCGATCATTAGAGGCAAGGGCCTCCAGATGACCTTTAACAGCCTTTGTTGGAACTCAGAGATGACTTGCCCGCGGACAGTGTATCTTACCTATCTGAGAGTCAAGGAAGGGAACATTCGATAAGTGACCCACTTCGAGTTTGAATGAATTACACCGATTGCATGCATTTTCGTCCAATGAAAAAAGCCCTACATGGCCAAGCCTTTAAATGCCACGAGTTTTCAAGGTAGTTAGGTGGTTTTCCTCAGACTACGAGAATGCTGATTGGGCTTTTCGGTTTTGTGGAGTCGGTTATTCATGGACATTGAACTTTGATTTTCTCAATTTTCCGTGTCTACGGTAGAAAAGGGCCCTTCGATCCTTTACAGTTCAAGCGCACTAAGGCAGTAAGACGACTTGTGACCCTTGTGAATTGTAAACAGCATGCCTGGAGGTTGAAGTCTTGGAAAATCGAAATCTGGTAGACTTGAGCAAAGAGCAGATGAGAACAAGCCACTGCAGTCATCATGCGGCTATATTATAGCACTACCCTCACCTTAGATCAACCCGCTTGAGTCTTTGACAGCGCGAAGATGGTAACAGTCTACGGAGTAAGAGAGCTGTCTCTTGGCTTCATTTGCTGGTGCTAATTCGGAAGCGTTGGCCGAGGCTCGAGCCGGGTTTCGACCTTCCTCTTCTACCAAGGCTCGGATCCCTTCAAGCCTAGGATCGCAAGGTGGATGAAGTCTTCTGTGGCGATGTCTGGAATTCGGCAATGGGACAGCCCTGCGTTGAGATGATGTAGGCTGCCAAATCTGTGGGAATGTTGTCGCCTATTGATGAGGATTTGCTTGGAAGTGTTCCGCTGTCAGCGCCACCTGACAAGAGTATGATCAGAAGACACTGCCACATATGGGATACTAAGGTAAGTTTGACGGAAGGAAGCAAATCAGGTCATAATTTAGATTGAACTAGGACTGTGAACGCGGATGTGACGTACTGCCGAAGCCTTGTCTTCTTGCTACGCCGCAGCCGATATAGCAGATATGCCGAGGAGGTACGGAGTACGGATACGGAGTCTCAATACCCTGTAGACCGTACCCCCTCTTAGCTCCATGCCATAGTACAACCCAGACAACCCATACTGTGTGGCTTTGGAACTTTCCAATTAATTCGCAGTTTTCCTGTGGTGTGCATCAGAGCATACGTACTCCTCGACCCGTTCCAGGTTCTCGGTACCTATTTAGGTAAAGTGGTAATGCCCAAGCCACAATAGGTCGTAATATTACACCTTACGCCAGCCATACACAACCTGTTACCTATATTGAAATTTGACATAGACTTATTCAAACAGCTTCACGGCATTACTTGGCAGGTACCTTGGGAGCTTGCATACGCGTGGCTCGCAGTTCGTACTACCTCACCGACAGGCTGACAGCTGGCTTTTGTGGTGCGATACAAAATCCTTTTCTTACGCAAGGTAGTTGATATCTGAGTGACTGGCTGGAATGAGGAAGCAATCCTCGAAATCAGTAGCCTTCAAATATTCATACATACAGTGCGCCTTCTTTTGGTTGAGGTCGATCAGGTAGAATTCATGGTAGACCTGGATTAACTCATAATAATATACCAGAGTATATCTGTGCAATTACACAATGCACAAGCGGCGATACGAGTACGAGGAACGACTTTGCTCCAGCCTTACAAGCCAAGATCGGTCATTCCTATGCCGAGCGACTTTGCATTAACATCAGACACCGACACCTCATTTATTGGTCTAGTCTATACACGCAGCCAAGGCATAACGAGATCCGTAATCCGCACTGGGATAATCCCCAACAAAATAAATCATACTTGTCAATAAAACATTAGAGTATAGGGTAGATATGATCACCTGCTCCATAGAATCAAAGAAAAATTAAATACATCAACATCCGAATAATATCGTACTGAAAACAGCAATCGCCGCTTAATCAGTATAGAAGAAAAGCACGTTCGATGCTCTTTACATATGAGAAAGGCTTTGGACAAACTGCGCCGAGCCCGCTTAGTTATCCTTCCTGTCTCAACAAAAAGACTAACGACGAAAGCAGAAGGACTTATCAGCCAAGATGGCCTAGTTTCAGTGACAAACGTTGTGGCTCCGTTAGTTTCATTGGTGCAAGCTCTTAATATAGACTGCTGTACTGGCCGTTGATCCTATTGCTCTTGAATTAGACTCTTCCATCAGACCACCTTCTGTTGGCGTCTATCAGCTCAATGATGATAAAGAAATAACGATCTCAGCATATGACTACATTCATATACTGCCTACCAACCTATCTTACTAGTATTATATCGTAACAGAGACTCGGGCGTAAGGTACGTAATTAATTTCGATGGGCGCTGCCATGCTCATCAATTCCGGTATTAAACTAGCCCGGTGAAAGTCGGCACTAGACCTGATCAGGTAAGGATTTCGCGGGCTAAATCAAGAAGTGTGGCGGAGGCTCAGCTCTGGCGCAGGTGGCCTAAAGTCTTCCCCGAATATTCGCAGACTTGCTCCACTTCAGTCTAGTTAGTATCATGCCCCGTCGCCCCCACCTCTCCAGGGCTCTCCCCTGAACTGCCATGGGTCCTCCCTCGTAACCATGGACCGCTGTTAAGGATGTTGGCAAGGGCGAATCGAACGACTCCAACATACACGCGGCCACGCCTCCTTCCTTTCTTTCTTTTGCTCTCCAACTGCACTCTACTTGTCTTTTTCTAGCTGATGCTTTTGTAGCTAGGCATCGTTCGTTCCTTATCTTCACTCCTTAAATCATTTTTCTATTTTATTTAAATTTTCTTTTTTTTTTTTTTTTTACTTTTTTTTTTTTTAACTTTACTCCGCATCACTATTTTTTCCCTTACAACTTTTTTTTTATTTATCTCCAAGTCCAAGCACTCTAACCTTCCTACATTCATTACCATTATTGATCTACTAGTAGGTCCAAACTTCCTCTAAAGATTATTTTGCCTAATTTGCCCTCGAATCTATCCTTGACGAAGTTAGCTCTGCTTCGTATTATTCGTCGCTTCTTCCCAACGGCCCCAAATTGGCCGACTCCCCGCCTCCCTTTCCCCATTCGAACCTCTCAGATCACTTCTTGAAACCGTCAACTATCATCACTACTAATAAGTAGTGGTGGTAGTAGTGGCTTATCGTCCGTCACTTGGCTTCATTTTGGGTCGGTCCTCTCACTCTTTCCCCAACCTCGCAAGCCCTTCCGCCGAATTCTGAGGATCTTCATCAAAAGGGGCGTCAAAACTTAGGGCAATCAGAACCTCTCCGATTACCTGTCTCCTTCTACAGAACGCCTGTGCTTGCGACCATTAGTCCTCCTCCAGACATATACAATCACTATTGTTCGGATAAAATCAGTCTACTATCACCAGACCCGGCAATTGGAGCTTACATTGTCAACTTTTTTACCCCGTAAGTTGTCGGCAAAACAAGGTCGAAGATAAACAACAGACCACCGGAAACAATTGTTGCGGCCTCTTCGCGCTCACCAGAGCCTTGCCCGACACGCCCTTACGACTCGAAATTATTCAGAAAATAATTTCCGCCTCAATTGGGGACTTCCTGTCCATCCTTTGTTCCGCCGTACTGTTGCACAGTTGCACGGGTCGTGCTACTACACATCCAACATGCGGCGCGGTGTCTTGATCTTTCTCATCGTCAACCTGCTCATCATATCATTTCTTGTGCGCAGTGTTTTCACCCTACTATCCTTGCTGGTAGAAGATGCCTCGGCCGATGCAATTCGTCACGCGGAGCTACCATCGCCAAATTCGAGCTTAATTGAACAACGGCCGCAGATTATACCCAAGATCATCCACCAGACATACAAGAACGAGACAATTCCTGAAGTATGGCGGGAGGCTCAGCGAAGCTGCATAGACCTGCACCCGGACTATGAATACATTGTATGTGTTTCATTCTAGTCAGCCGTTGCCTCATTATACTAACGCGGCCTCCCCATCAGCTGTGGACAAACGAAAAGTCCCGCGAATTTATCAAGGATGAATATCCGTGGTTCCTCGACACATTTGACGGCTACAAGTACCCGATCCAACGTGCAGATACTATCCGATACTTTGTGCTTGCTCACTTTGGTGGTACATATATCGACCTTGATGATGTATGTGTTCTAAGCACAGTTACTAAATTAAACCGCGAATTCTGTTTGCTAACGCGAACCTATTCAGGGTTGCAACCGGCGATTGGATCCCCTCCTCGCCTACCCTGCTTGGGTGCGCCGTACCGTTCCAACGGGTATCTCTAACGATGCCATGGGATCCGTTCCCCAACACCCGTTTTTCCTTCGAGTCATTGAATTGCTGAAATCTTACGACCGCAGCTGGCTGCTTCCTTATATTACCGTCATGTACTCGACTGGTCCTCTCTTCCTGTCAGTGATTTGGAAGGAATACATGCAAGATAAACCGAGTGAGGCTGCACGAGTTCGGATTCTCATGCAGGATGAATACAACAAGTACTCGTGGAGCTTCTTCACTCACCATGTCGGCAACAGCTGGCACGGTAAAGATGCCAGGTTTATCTTCTGGATGGGTCAGCATTGGATGTTCCTCACTGTTCTGGGTTTCATCCTCGCTTCGCTCGTGGGATTCTGCCTCTGGTGGATCTATGGGCGCATGATTCTCCTGAGCTCGAAATACCGCTACCGATACTCGAAACTACCGAGCCTGGGGCGCTTATCTTCCTCCCCCACACGTCGATCTCGAGGCATGATGCCTACGCTACTTCGTCGTGTTAGTTTCAAAGAAGACGAAGAATCTGCCCACGTTACGGAATCCTCGTTCGAACTTTACAGCCGTCGCGATTAGGGTTCTACACCTCTTTTGTGACTGAAATGTGACCGTGGTCACCTCGCAACGCATTTTGATATGACTCTTGCATCCAGCATTTCTTGTACCCACTATTCCCGATGGTCCAATAGTTCTGGGCCCTGTTTCTCTGCTTATTCATGCATGTATGGAGTTTTTCTTGGGTCACGGATTGGCCAAAGCGCTTGTTTGGATCAAATGATTGCTTGTACATGTTTTGGCAAGATGACTTGGATCTATCTGCATGCGAGGTGGGTCTGCTAGGCAGCCTACCCGCATTGTATTAGGCTCTCTGAAATTCCTGATCTACTTTGCTCTTTCCGTTTCACCTTCCATTCTCCTTTGCCTCTTTTCCGTATATTCCTTGTATTGATCTTTCACCTCACCTTTTTGTCCCACTATACCTTTCATGTCACTATAGACTTGCGCTCGTGATGGGTATGCTCATCTCCACTACAGGTATAACGTATCGGCTCGAAAGCAGACCGGAAATAGAATTTTGATAAGCGATGATATATTCGCGATTGAACAGGCCAATCAAATGACAATTGTCTTCTTCATATCAAGTCCATGGATGCCTCTGTACTTTCAAGTTATCATTAGAGGATCGACGGAGAAGAAGCGCTATGGAATTGGAGGCTTGGGCTCCAGATGATCCAGTAAGCGCAAGAGATTGTCAGTAAGCTGTTCTCCATCCTGTTTGGTTGTCAGCACCATGCAGCTTGGAAGAATACCGTGCAAAGTGTTTCAGCCCCGATTCTCCGTGTTCCAATCAACTTTGAGTTCGATACTGGCAGATCGCCGCTAATGCATACCCGGCGTGGACCTGCGAGAGACATATGCTTCAGATTCGCCCAGGAACACCTTGAGACATAATCGTCATTGCAACGCTCGACGAATCCAAAACCACACCAGGGGTAGGATAGGTAATTCCTAAACAAAACTACCCCTGTAAATACAGTTGCAATCGAACCTGAGACAAAGTGACTCCATAGACCTCGGTTCGTTCTATTCAGGCGCAGTCTCACCAGCCATTTCCACACCACCCTGAAATATGTGGGAATGGGTAATGAAGAATGCAAACTCTTGTGGCTGCTCTGGTGATGAAGGGTGTGACTAGTGACCAATGATCTCATCAGCATTACCTGCCTTTGCTTTTTGAAATCATATAAAGCCTGCGTTTGAAGCCAATACAGCCCATCCATCTTTAGATCTCTTCCCCTAAGGACTCATACTAATCTGTTATACGTTTCTATTGCCGGTAGCGGGACAGGCCAGACGCAACAGCGCAGCTCAAAATGAAGCCAAACCATCTCTACAACGCTCTCCTTTTCCTCGTCCTCCCTATGCTGGGCTACGGGGCTCCAACTTCCACCACCACCACCCGACACCAGGCCCGAGATGTGAAGATCACAGCAGCGCAGATCGAGACCATCGCGCCCAAGTCAAAGTCGTGCACGGACGCGCCCGCCCCGGGTGAATGTGCTACGTCCGAGCAGGCCGCGGGCAACATTGCCAAGTCGTTCGAGACGTACAAGGTGACGTCGGTTGCTGAGCAGGCCGCCGTGATCGGGTTGATGGCGTTTGAGAGTCTGGACTTTGAGTACAATAGGAACCATTTCCCCGGTGTTGCGGGGCAGGGCAGTATGTTTGCATTTTTACAATCCGTATTTTGCATTTACCGCTTTGCGTGGCAGCAGGGCTGACTGTTTTGGGAATTTCGAATAGCTCGGAATATGCAATCGCCTGCATTCAATGCCAAGTACGCGGCTTCTCTGCCGGCTCTTGCGGACAAGTTGAAGGGTGTCTCGGGCGACCCGGCGGGTGTACTTGACCTGTTGCTGTCGAACGAGGAATATGATTTTGGTTCCGGGGCCTGGTTCCTCACCACGCAGTGCTCGCAGGATGTACGGTCGGAGCTCCAGTCTGGTTCGGAGGCCGGGTGGCAGAAGTATATCACCAGTTGTGTGGGGACAGATGCGAATGAAGAGCGCAAGGCGTACTGGACGCGGGCCGTGCAGGCGCTGGGTGCTTAAGAGTTTTTTGGACCGGTTTTGGATCTTGCTAATGGTTCCAATTGAGTATCAATGCATGTATTCTTTGGGATTCATCTGTATCATCGTAACTTCGTCTCTCGGACCGCTGATATATCCGTAGCAGAACAAACGTCCCGTTGTTTGACGTTTCACTTCCCCCCATATACATCTTCAGCACCCTTACAGCACTCCCTTCGTACTAACCACATCTCCCGCCCCGACTTCACCAGCCACCCTTCTGGCACAGGCAGTGCGGATAGCTACGGCCAGCGCCTTGAACGCACTCTCCGCACGGTGGTGGTCGTTATCTCCGTACGTGCAGCCAACATGCAGCGTTACATCAGCAGCCTGCGAAAAGCTGTGCAGTCCATGAGTGATCATCTCGGTGCTCAGGTCCCCGATCTTCTCCCGCTTGAAGCCCAAGTCGATCACGGACCAGGGACGGCTGGAGAGGTCGATCACAGCCCAGGAGAGAGCCTCGTCGAGCGGAGCATCGCCGCGTCCAAATCGTGCAAGGGATTGACGGGCGCCTAGGGCTTTGGTGAAGGCTGTACCGAGCGCGAGGAAGGTATCTTCGGTGGTGTGGTGATCGTCAACTGTACAACACGTTAATCACAAGATTTTGCTGGTGGGCCAGACTGAAAGACATACTGTACAGATCTCCCTTGGCTCTGATGGCTAAACTCCACCCAGAATGTTTGGCCAAAGCATGCAGCATGTGATCCAGAAATCCGATCCCGGTGCTCACAGTGATCTGCTGAGTAGGTGTGAATTGAGTCGCATGGGCGGCATTCTTGGGAGGAACGATGCCGTGTTTGGCGGCCTCTGCCTCCTTCGGGTCTTCAGGTGCAGGGAAATGCTCCGACGGTTCGTATGGAGGGAGCACCCCGCCGTCCAGAGAGAGGGAGACCTGAATCTTGGTCTCGTTGGTCACCCGCGAGACGGTCGCTGTTCGTGCGGGGAGAGGCATTGTGTAGATGTTAGGACGGCAGTTTCAGTAATTGAAGGGTTGTGGTTCTGGGATTTAGTAGTCAAGTCGTTATCCGTGCAATTGAATCCTGATTCAAGCTGTTGTTACCAGTATCTCGACTCAAACACTGGTGATAATCAAGGGCTGGTTCAGTGTTGCTTTTTTTTAGCGGAACATGTCCCGCGTTATCAGTATTACCGGAAATGGATAATCACTTAATCCGACTGTATAGCTGCGTCATTCGCAGTGTTATCGAATGATAACAGCTGAAAATGTCATCTTGACTTCATGTTAACGGTTCTTCTGGAATTTCTCTTTCTCAGTCCATGACATCTATAGAACCCTTGGCACATCATCAACTCCTCCGTTATGCCTACAGTGAGTCAGAAAGGGGACATTGATCCTCCAGACGAGGTCACATCGGAGGCTGTTCGAGGGTTCCTCACTGGAGCGTTTCGGGTGGGTTTGATCACCATAATCCTTGTTATTTCCAGATGAGTTCCATATCGGGTTCATGAAGTGGATGTTCAGACCATGCCCAAGCGTTCTGTACCAATTGCTTGGGCCAGTTTAGGACTATGTGCTGGCGAAATGAGTGCAACATGCTGACGCACAGCTCTTGATTGGTAGTTTGGCTCCGTGTCCATCCTTGCACATATGATCCTTATGCTTCCTCATCCTTTCAAGTTCTCTCCCACAGCAGCAACTCCGTCACATCCACCAGCGTCGCCGTCATCAACTCGTCCGAGGACATTGCCTTTTTCCAAGGACCATCTACGGTCCAAATTCATCTACGGCCCCCTCGAGGGGTTTTCTGAGTGGCTATCTCCGACGGCCCGGGTCTACCGAGGATTGACTCCGCAATTTAAAGTCTTCCTACAGATTGCGGCAATGACTCTGGGAGGATGCATCTGGGCCGAGCGGAGAGTGAACGAATATATTGATTTCATGCGGAAGGTAAAACGAGCTGAACGACTGCAGGCACAGAGGGTAGCACGATTCTCGGAATCGGAGTAGACGGGTTTTGTACGAGTTTGAAATTTCATCAAAGGTCTCCACTCATTGAAGACATCCACATGCCCAAAACACAGAGGCAGTGTCGATGTGTGGCATTGCATCGTGTCGAGTCGAGACAATGAACAGAACGACACTGATGGTCTGCCTCTTAACTACATGGCTCAACTGGCCGATGGGCTCATTATGTCGCCGTTCTCTCCTCACCCACACGGTACTTGCTTTGTCTGCGGGGATGAATCTGAAACGCTGTGATCTCCGTGACGACGGCTGGACTAAGTCCTGTAGATCCCCAGCTATCCGATTGCGTAGATCAGCAATGGGACTCCGTCATTCATCAAGGATACAAGCTGTGCTGCATCATGGACTCCATGTTGATCGCAGGACAAAAAGGGCCACGATTGGAAAAGATCTGTAACATGACATCAAGGGTAAATCACTCGATCCGAATGGGGTTTCTTGGCCTTTGTATTACGAGTACTATGATGGTTAGCCCTAATTCAAAGTCACTTGCAGCCTTACTTTGCTGGTGTACGCGGCTATTCTTGGTTTTTCAAAGGCGCCCCGGCTTGTGTCTCAATGAAATAGGCTTCAATGGCTCCGTTCAGGTGAATGAGTAAGGTAGTGAGTACCTTTCACGCTTTTTCAGGTAGGATCGAAGTTAGGATCGTGAAGGAGGCAGGAATCATCCTCAGTTGCATATAGTTGATGGTACTTGGCGCTCAACTGACCTTGGGAGGTAAAATTGAGACTGCAGAAGACTTGAAGCTGGACAGTGCATCATTTTCTCAGAGTGGAATACCTCTCTCTCCCTCTGAATTGAGTAACCCACACGATCCAGAGATCTGGTGGAGCTTGTGTTGCGCTAGTTGAAAGCTGTATTTAGCTGTTGTACAATCTAGATATTCCGTCCTTCGGAGGCGTTCCTCGTCTCCTGAAACCCGACTATGAGTTAAAGAAAGTATCTTGAACTGTTCTTGTACGGATGGAAGAGTCCTCTGTTCGTTTATTTTGTCTACAACTGGTGTGGCTATGGTCCGTCACGCTTTTGTAAATGAAGGGTCGCCTCAAATTGTTTACCAAGATAGGCTAAGTGTTAGTTGGTATCAGGTAGCTTAAATCCACACAGTTTCAGAATTCAACCCCCTTTTTAGCTACGGAGTACCTGGCTAGAGACTGAGGTATCTGGGTCATCTAGATACTCGCTATTAGTAGTGCTAGTGCTGGACGGGTCAGGATTGAGAAGCTAATGGACTGATACGGATGTACATCATACTATGAGTATGATGCTATTGCTGCCAATTTCCCCGTACATTGCGATCGACCCCATTTGATCATTTCCCATTGCGGAGCCCCATGAACATTATTGATCAAGTCAGCAAGTAGCATTAAAATTTGCCATCAGCATCACCATGAGGCATTGATCGTCCTTGACTGTTCTCGTCTTGCCGCCAGGGCTGTTTGCAGCAGTAACTTGTAACTTGTACGTAAGCGATAAAAAGAAAGAGGAGGGTAAACAAACATAAAAATTGCTTACATGATTCCACGCTGACATCATCCTTGTTGTCAATCAGCAAATCGAATGACAGCGATCTTTTGGACTCTGTATTATTATTATGTAGATACTCGTTAAGTCTTCCACTAACAGTCGCCATTTATATCGAGTTATCGTACCTCTCTATTATTATTGTCATCTTTTATTGATTCACTTGCTAATACTACTGAGAGAGCCAACCACCATCCATCTCCATCCGTTGTTCCCTCCCCTCTGGTTCTGCTGTGGAATCTTGTTCCTGGTCCTCTTATTTCGTTCCTGTTCCTGATTAACTTTCTCCTGTTCTTATCATACTCCAATCCCTTCACATCTCATTACTATCATCATACCTTAGCTACCTGTAACCCCTCTCCTCCAGTATTGCAAGGCAGTACTAGTCAATTCATTCTTCTTGGTCGTTGTTGGCTGCTTTCGTGCTCATCTGCTTCCCTTTCCGGCGCTTCATCCGCTGCTTCTGTTCATCTGATTCTCTCTGGGCGGTTATCGTCTCTCTGCTCCTCTGTCTCATTGTAACCTTCCACGTACCATTCATTCTTCTGTTTTTCTGTTCTCCTTCTGGTGATCAATTAAGTTAGTGGTTGCCTTGAGCTCCTAGGAAAATTGCGGACTTCGATATTTTTTTTCCCTTTACTTTACTGTTTTCCTTTTCTCTTAACCATTTCCGATTTTGTTTATTAAAATCTCTGGTGACTACGTCCAAGCTACAGCACTTGGCCTAAAGTACCACTGTCCTCGCCGTAGCTCCGGTGCTTCCCCTCAGTCTACGAATTGCTTCTCATGGCGCCTTGACGGACTGCTGTATGTTCCACCTCTTCTTCTCCTTTCCCTCTTCTTCCCTCTCCCTAATTAGTCTGCTATTCCCTCGTTTTCATTCTCCCATCTTCCCTGCTCCACAGGACCACTGGCTAAGCTAGTTTCATGGTCCAAAAAATCATGCTCTCACTATCTACTAGTAGCCGGTCTTTATCCAATATGCATGCCCGTCATTACCATGTGGTGACACTCAGCTAACTTGGTTCTTTTGCGCTTCTCTCCTAGTGAGAACGACATCGATGTCGTCGGTGTGAGGATTTTTCACTCCTTTAATAATTCACTTACACTCGTTATTTCTCTTTTTCTACGTTTGCCTTGGATCTGAACCTATTCCAATTTATCCGCTCCTCCCCGCCATGGCCGACAGCTTGGGGAAGAAAGAGCGCAGAAAAAGCCTGAGCGTGTTTAGCCCGTCATCGACGACCTCAATTCTATCCGGTTCCGCAATCACCCACGATCGATCGCCCTCAGATGATGTCAACACTCTCAAGAAGAAGAACCGACGAAATTCCGGGTTTTTTGGTGTCCGGAACACCAGCCCAGCAAGAGCTCCGGGCAACTATGCTCAGCATTGGCCCAGCGCGGTCGAATCGGAATCAACGGCAGCCTGCATAACGTCGACACATACAATAATAGTCCCGGAGACCA